AATCCAAAATCTAAATACACGATTAGATTCAGCATATTAAAGAAATAAGCAATTTATACAAAGTATTAGTAAAGTATTGTTTTTGGCCCCTTTTTTCCTAAATATTAAGGGCCAGAACCCCCAAAATCAAGTCCAACCTTTTATTTTGGCATGGAACCTTGTGGTACAATTTCATAGAGATCCATAGTGGTTATTGTCTGGAAACCAGAAAATTCTAGTATGTTTGCCCCTTTTTTGGTCCCTAATTCCTAAACGGTTTAAGACATTACCCCCAAAAGCAACCCAATTCAATTCAATTCAATTCAAAGCTTTATTTATAGTCGGCATGTCACATAACAAATAAACATAAGCTCTTTGAGCTTTTATAACCGACAAATACATACATTTACACAATAATCATACACAATACTAATATTAAAACATAAAAGACATAGAACATACATTTCATGCACATTTAGGCTTAACTAATATAATATAATACTATATATTTTATACATGCATGAGCACTAAGCTAAAAGCAACATAAAAATTAAAGCACAGCAATCACAATTTATAAAAAGCTAAGCAAATAAACACAAAAAAGCAGCACTATTATGTTTCAAAGTTGTAACATAAAACATAAAAATAAATACTAAGCACATGTATTCCAATGGCATGAATTGCCATTCCATGAGTTTATTAGACTCTTGAATTGAATTGGGTAAAAGATGTTTCAGTTCTAAAGTGGTTTGGCAACTCATTCCATAGTTTGGCAGCAGAATATCTGAAGGACTTTAAGCAAAACCTTGTAGTTCTTACAGCAGGTATTTCCGCTAAGTTTTGATATCTGAAAGAATATTTTGTTTCTTTAATGTTTATAAGATCATGGAGGTGTACTGGATTTTCATTATTGACTGTTCTAAATACCTCTATTGCCATGGTTCCTAGGCGTCTTACTTTAAGTAATGGCATTTTTTATTATTAAGCGGAGTGCTCTTTCTTGTACTTTTTCAATTTTTGTAGTGTTTGGCTCGCTGCAGAAATGCCAGGACAATGAGCAGAAATTAAAGTTTGACATAATGAAAGAGTGATATATTATTAATTTTCCAAGTTTATTCAAGTATTTGCCTAGTCTTTTTAAGACATTTAGTTGTCTGGATGCTTTTTTGCAGATGTTTGATATATGCGTGTTGAAATTTAGTTCAAAGTCAATGGTGATGTCTAATAGTTTAACCTCTTTTTCACATTTTATTTTGTTGCCTGCCATATCAAATGTAATGTTTTTCCCATTGTTTTTTTGCCAATTGCCAAAGCTTGAAATTTTTCAGGGTTTGCCTTTATTTGATTGGAAGAGAACCAGTCTATCAGAGCCAAACTGTCTTTTTCAAGTGTGGAAATAACTGTGTTTATATCTCTATTTGCATAAGAAAGTGTATTGTCGTCAGCATAATTGTAAAGTGAATTGTGTGTGGTGAAAGATATCATTTAAGAAGATGTTGAAAAGTATAGGACCAAGAATAGAACCTTGTGGTACTCCTTTGTATATATTTTGCCAATTGCTCAGACTAGAGCCATCTCGAACACATTGTTTCCTGTTAGATAAGTAATTTTTTATCAGTTCTAAAGAGGAAGTTGAAAGACCATAAGCTTCAAGCTTAAGCAGCAGAAGATCGTCAGAAAGACAGTCGAACGCCTTAGATAGATCCATTAGTATTGATCCAATAAACTTATTTTGATCAAGTGCCATTTTCCAGTCCTCAATGATTCAGAGTAGAGTAGTTTGACATCCGTATTTTGGTCAAAAAGCAGATAAGTATGGATGAAAGTGTGTACTGAAGTATTCAACTAGGTAGCTGGTTGTAAATTGCTCGTTCGAAAATTTTTGAAATAACTGGAAGTATACTTACTGGTCTATAGTTGCCCACATAAAGTACATCGTTCTTTTTGTGTAATGGTACAACTTGTGCCTGTTTTAGTTGATCTGGAAAAGTGGCTGATTTTATAGTCTTGTTTATTAATTCAGTTATTGGTTTTGTAATAACTGGTTGTGCTAGACTTTAACTGAGATGCCATCTATTCCTGTTGCCTTTTTTATGTTTAATTTTTTAAGTTGTTTGTCTACAAATTCATTTGAGATGATACTAAATTCTAGTTTTTGTGTGGCAGTTTTGTTTTCGTGTATTTTTGTAACACTTTGATGGTTATTATTAGCAGGTGTGTTGTTGCCAATATCTTTAGTTATGAAAAAAAGCATTGAAGTGTTCTGCTACTTTCTTTTGGTCACTTATTATGGTTTCTTCATCACATACAATGATATTTTTTGTGAAGTTGCTGCCTTTGTTTGTAATGAAAGGTTTTATAGTTGGCCAGAAATCAGATGTTTTTGGTCCGCCTATGCAGCGTTCATAAAAGTATGTTTTAATGGATTTTTTCTTTATTTTATTAACTAGATTTCTCTGTTGTCTATAGAGTTCACAGTTATTACTTGATTTTTGTTTGTTATACCTGTTGTCATCTTGATCTATTATTCTAGAGAATTCAATATTTTCTAAGTCTGCAATAAAATTTTCTTGGTCTAATTTTTAAAGCTTCTATACGTTTTATACTCTGTGGTCTTATTTGAAATTTGACCCTTTATCTGTACACTGATCATATTGTGTATAACACTAATACCAGTATTAAAATTTCTTATATTCATACATAAACTAGATTTATTTGTCAGTACAACATCTATCAGACTTGGATTATTCCCCTTAGTATGACATGTAGGTTCATGGACCAGATTTGTTAAATCACAAACATCACAGGCCCCTCTTAAAGTATTACTTTTCTCGTTTACTAGCATATCATAATTGAGATCTCCTAACATTAAAATATCATCATATTTTGTTGAAGCTTTGTCAAAGGTATCTATAATGTTTGTATTGTATCTATCCAAACTTTCAATTTGAGGTATGGAACCTTGTGGTAAAATTTCATAGAGATCCATACACTTATATACAAGTTATTGTCCTGAAACAAGATAAATGCTTGTTTTCGGACCCTTTTTTGCCCTTAATTCCTAAACAGATAGGACAATAATCCCTAAAATCAATCCCAACCTTCCTTTTGTGGTATGAACTTTGTGATACAATTTCATAGAGATCCATACACTTATACTCAAGTTATTGTCTGGAAACCAAATTCTTCGGACGACGACGACGACGCTGTCAATGTCATAACATCATACAACCGTAAAATGTTTGCGGCATTATAATCCAATGGGAGTGTGGAGATAGAACAGTGTAGTTCTGACAAAGACTTCGTAGAGTGTAAAAATCTCGTATTATATTTGTTTAGGGAGATAGACCATTGCTACTTGGATCTCAAATGTATAGCTATCTCCATTTTCACCAAAACTGGAAATATAACACTATAAGATTCACACGACGAAATTTTTCGCCCTTATTCCGGTTAAATTACCATGCATGAACTATACTCATTGTTTTAATAGTAATTGATAATTTGTTCTAGTCCTGAATTTACATGAAATACCAGCCACTGGACATTAAACAAGCAGCAATCATTTAAGCATAACTAACAAAATACTGTATTCTAAAAGTCAAATAATCTAGATTGTAGCATTTTCTAGTTTTTAATATTATAAGTGAATAAAATGCTCCGCTGGGCGCAGCTTGATACGACCGCAGAGGTCGAACCCTGAACAGTTGGGGCAAGTATGGCCACAACATTCAAGCTTGATACAGCACTTAATTTGGATTGTGATTAAATATTTGACACAGCACAGGTTTCTGACACAGAATGAATGTGGTCTAAGAACTTAAAATTTTTTAATTTACCTATTCAAACCAAATCATTATTAGTTGCTTTTATATATAAATCAGAAATAACCAATTTAAAATGGAAAATTTTAAAGAAAAAAAATCCCCCACCCCAAATTTTTTGAACCCCTTATGATTCATCACCTCCAAACTCAAACGTAGCCTTCCCTTTGTGGTATTGTACCTGCAGTACAATTTCAGAGAGATCCATTCACTTGAACACAAGTTATTGTCTGGAAACTAGAAAAAGGCTTGTTTTTTGGCCCCTTTTTGGCCCCAAATTCCTAAACGTTTAGGGCAATTATCCCCAAACTAAAACCCAGCTTTCCCTTTGTGATATGGAACCTTGTAGTACAATTTCAGAAAGATCTACACACTTATACACAAGTTATTGTCCTGAAACTATAAAAATGCTTGTTTTTTGCCCCTTTTTTTGCCCCTAATTCCTAAAATTATAAAGCAATTACCCCCAAAATCAATCCCAGCCTTCCCTTTGTAGTATGGTACCTTGCAGTACAATTTCAGAGAGATCCATACACTTGAACACAAGTTATTGTCTTGAAACTAGAAAAATGCTTATTTTTGGCCCCTTTTTGGCCCCTTATTCCTAAACATTTTGGGCAATTACCCCCAAACTCAATTCCAGCTTTCCCTTTGTGATATGGAACCTTGTAGTACAATTTCAGAAAGATCCATACACTTACACACAAGTTATTGTCATGAAACTAGAAAAATGCTTGTTTTTTGCCCCTTTTTTGGCCCCTAGTTCCTAATATTTTGAGGCAATTACCCCCAAAATCAATCCCAGCATTCCCTGTGTGATATGGAACCTGGTGGTACAATGTCAGAGAGATCCATACACTAACACACAAGTTATGTCTGGAAGTTACAAAAACGCTTATTTTTTGCCCCTTTTTGGCCCCTAATTCCTTAACTGTTGGTACCATAACCCCCAAAATCAATCCCAACCTTCCTTTTGTGGTATTGAACCTTATGGTAAAATTTCATAGAGATCCATTCACTTAAGCTAAAGTTAGAGTGCGAAAACCAATGTGTCTTCGGACGACGACGACGACGACGCCAACGTCACACCAATATACGACCGCGGTCGTATAAAAAGGATTCTATAAAAAAAAGTCTTGGTTCTTGTCATTGGCTTAGTAAAACACATCATCAAGTACATGATTTAACTTTTTTTCGATTTTTATTGAAGAAACATCAACAACATTTATAAATTATGATTTCAAACCTAATGTCACTCTTTAATTCCGTGTAACGGAACAGGTCACAAAATGCAATACATACTGAAAACATATATTTGTACAATTATAAGATAGTGATTATGCATCTTAATATTTGCATTACCAAAACTTTATGCATACTGTTCCTTGTAATAATAAAGTGAAGAAGAACTGAACAAGTAATTTTAATAATTGTCGTGTTTGACAATTTCTTATTGTAATGAACTTATACCTGATAAAGTAATTTATGCTTTAAAAAAACTCTATGACTTGACGAGTATATAAGTGCAAGTTGTACTATCATTGGCAATTTGAGAGTATTTTATGACTTCCCATTAGTAAGTTTCCAAATTCATTTCATACCACTCGTTTATTTACATTGTAGTTTTCTTTAGAAACCTAGTTAAAGAGACTGCTGCTGTTATGGTCACCTGGATTTACCTTGTTCTTCAGTCAGACGGTCAGGGCAGGGCGGCACATATTTTCGGTCCATCGTCCAGGGTAACTTACTTTGCAGAACCTACTATTCTAGTAACCTTAAGATGACTAAGTCTCATAGTAATTGTTAGTGTCCTATAAAATAAATTCTTTAAAAGGCAGCCGATAAATATATATCAAGGATAAGTGCGGTTTTTTTATCCATTGAAAGTTGAATAAACAATAAGATTTTAAAATGAATAAAAGAAGATATTGTGAATACGTTAATTAAAAAGCCACCCAACGACATACATCAGAATCCACATCGAACTATCTGAAATAAAAAAGGCGATGATACGTCTTACATTTGACAATCCTTAAACAAGCTCTTATTCGTAATAAATTCAAAACTCTTTTTGTGGGTATATACAGCTCCTGAAACAAAATTTCCATAACAATGTTTGCTGTACATCAAATTTGAAGTATTAATAAATATATATATAATTATTAACTATCATTACACATAGCTCTTGTTCGTGCACAACATTAAAATGACCACAATACACTGTACAGTTGGCATATGTTTAAAGATATCGTAGATGTATAAATTTTGAATATTCGATAATCTATTTTGAGGAATTTTTCATCCTTGACGTAATCACATTTGATCATTTAAAAATGAATGCAAAACAACCGATCTCACCAATTACCCAAAAACTAATTGGTTAAAAGCTTTCTCAGAACGATACTTGTAAACAAGTATGATTCCAAACGTAATTTTTGTCGTCAATCTTTAAATATTGACAAAATGAATATATAAGCATATCTTCTCAATTTTAAAATGAAATATGAATTCGGTAACATCTATGTACATAACATAAACGTCGAAATACTAAAAATTACAATTAATTTAGACAAATAAAACAATTAAACCAATAAAGATTCCTGGTCTTGTTTTTGATTGATAATTACATGTTACAATAATCAGCAATTCTGACCATGGGTCAGTATCCGTGTGGTATTTACAAGTGCCAGCATCTGCCCACCTTAGATCACTAAATTTGAAGCCTTCCAACATCCCTAACAAATAGTATCCTTTGTGAGATAAGATGTTTTTCTGACACTACTCGTAGCATTATTGTCTGCAGAATGGACTGTATGGTTTTTCCTTTTAGTCGAGTGTTTCATTGTACAATATCGTATACAGAATACTCGTTTGAAAGTGTTCCAAAACTTCTCACTGAACCAACAATAAAGTATGAAGTTAAAAGCGGACTTCACTGCTAATAGAAATAATGTTACACACATAATTATTTCAAAGGTTTTTCTCTTGTCATTTGAAAAATTCACAAAGCTGAACTTGTGTATATTGACATAGGCTATGTATATCACATATGGGGCTTGACAAATGAAAAAAGCTACAATTACACTAACCAACATCATGGTTATCTTCAGTTGCTCATGGGCGACTATATTCTGCATGTTAGAGTTTATTCCAATATGATAACGTAGGTATTTTGTGGATTTACGAATTTCAAGGACAAGTCGAATGTTCAAGTATACCAGGAAAAGAAACGGAATAATTGCGCATATTGCACAGTCGATAATCCAAGCATATATGATCTTGTAGGTTGTATTGAGTGCAAGAGGCGTCAAAACAACTTGGCGAACGGGTTCGCCACAAAAGTAAAATGTTTCAAGTTTTAATTCGAAGAAATTTGGAACTCGACAGTAAAATGACAAAATGAATATAATTAGTATGATAATTCTTGATCTTTTGACGGTACAAATTGATATAGCTTTCAATGGATGACAAATGGCGATATAACGCTCGACAGCGAGCATCACTGTTAACCAGACAGACGACAACAGGAACGTGTGTATAAATATCTGCGCGTATTCATAAAATGCATAAAACGAATATAACGATTTACCGGATAAATGACGATCAAGACTTCTACATCCAACAAGACATAGAAAGCCCAAGTCAGCGACAGCAAGGGACATCAGATATGTATTTGTTGATGTGCACATATTTTTCCTGCTCAGAACAATAACTGTCAGTATGATGCCAACTATACCACTAACGCAGAGTATAGGAAGAAATATGTTAATAAATATTTCCATTCCACTGTGACGGTGGACGTAATTTTGTTCTTCGGAACCATTGCCACATGGGTCATAGTGATGGTAAGATACATAATCATAAACGTCATAGTAGACGTATTCATGTGTGCTGTTTATTGCTTTGGTCATTCCGCGAGGAACATCATTATCACTCCAACTTACGTTTGTATCCATCGATCTAAACTCGTTTTACTATTCTTTATATATCTGAAAAGATGAATAAAATTATTATCATAAGACATCTAAAAAAGAATCGCTCAAACCGTTGTTGGGCCATCTTGCGCAAGCAATGCGTCGAGAAATTATGTTCTATGCAGAAGGCCTGCAGAAACGCAGCATTAAAAGCACTGTTCTATTGCATATTGTTTGTATATGTGTGCGTAGTGATTTGTGTCATGACACGATACCCCATATCCTTTCTTTTTCCTTTGTAGGAATCATGCCAACGTCAAGCTTTGAAACATATATATACGTGAGTCCAACTTGTTTATGAATGGTCATGGTCACTCGAGGGACCAAAGCGAAGGTGACATTTGAAATAAGGTTCAAAATGCATAAATATTACTACAGCGGGACCAGATGGGGTGACCTGACAAGACAGATTTTCGCTTAATATAAGCGACCTTCACAACAGGTTTGGCTGTAATTTGCCCTATTATGATCTATATAAAAAAAATAAAAATGCTATATTTTCAACATTTTGACATTTTATTTTTACATAATAAAATTTTCCAATGAACAGAAATCAAAGTCACGTAAAATATGATACATTCATAGCATCTATGTACTGTGCAATAAAACGCGGAACTCAAAAGATGAACGTCTCCATTGCCAACGGTCGCACAACAATTTGGAGGCGAAATGGTGAAAGAAACGCTTCGTGTTGCGTCCAGGAAGTTGATCTCTGGGGTGGTGGTAGTGTAATGATATTGGCAGGTGTATCATTTCGTTGCAGAACGCAAACGCATTTTTGTGACAGATATAGTATATTAATGCACAGAGATACAGAGATAATATTTTAGCACCACTGGTTTCGCCATAGTTTCAAACTCAAACCGGATTTGAAAGTATTCCAACACGACAACGCTCGTCCTCATATTGGCCGGATCTCCGCAGCCTTTCTTAACAATGCCAATATTCGTGTGATACCTTGGTTATCGCTATCTTCGGATATGGTGCCGATTGAACACGTATGGGATGAGATAGAACGTCGTACTTGCCATCGACAACAAAGGCTTGCTCAGTGAATGATTTACCTAGCGTATTGAAAGAGGAATGGATCAACATGCCACAAACTGTTATCCAGAACATTATCTTGTCTATTCGCCGTCGTTGCATGGCACTAGTTATTGCTAGCGGTGGTAAAACAAGATACTAACTTTATAAAATGAGGGTTATGGTCAACTCAGGAAAATGAAAGTTGTTTATCACTCGGAAGTTCCGTTGGTTGATAACGTTTGATTTTGTCAGTTTTTATGAACTTCCCCTTTTTGTATTTACCTTGCAGTTCGGTATTTTTGTTATACTTTTTTGAGACGCTGTATGACGTTATTGTTGATCCTTGATGTACCATTAAGACATTAAATATACTACAATAGGCTATTATTTATGTGTTTCGTACCAATATCACCGTTGATATATCTGTTATTACTAGTAAATTATTTGTAAAAAAATAAGTGGTGCGTTTCAATGGTTGTTCAGTATACATATCACGGAAAGACGGAAAGATAGAAAGTTGTGTAGGAATCGATTTTTTTAACTAAATCCATTTGTATTTTAAATATTCTAGTTCCTAAAACAAATATTGTCGTTCCCCTTTTATCAGGAGATAACAATTTTACCTAAAATATTTCCTAAATGTATGTTTTAAAAGGAGATAAATCATGTTTTTTTTGTTTTTGTTTCGGACAACAATACTACAAAACGTGAACACATTATTATTTTCTTACCATGTTTTATAAAGAATTATATGTCAAAGTATTGAACTTCCTTAAAATCCAATTGTTCCTAAATCCACAAAAATTGGTACTCCCAACAATAAATCCCCAGTATATCTAGACTTAATGACCATCGCGGGCTTAAAACAAGTGTTATATTAGCTTATGGTATATTGTAGCCCACAACATTTTATATAAGAGATGGTCGAAGCAATATTTCGTATGTCTTTAAATAACTAAAACATGTAATTATGATGTCAATAAATCTTTCCGAATTACAGTAAATTCCAACAAAAACCATGCAAACAACTTACTTTACATATTTATTGACGTGATGTGTATTCGCTGGCGGAAGATAAACACTTTAACCAGGCGGAAGAAAAACACTATACATTACATATATAGTAAATACTCTCACTTCAAAATGTTATAAAATTCAGCACTTTAAGACCAATTGTAAAGTGGAAGTCATAATAGGTCCTTTGTTATGTAGTAAATAATAAAGTTCGTTAACCTAGACTAAGTCACAAATGTTTCTATGCTTATTTATACTATCTGAAATCAAAATAATTAAAAAAGAAAACTGCAAAAGTCCGCAGTCATTTTATATATTCCAGTTGATATATGATAAATCATCAACATCACACTGGAGGTATATCAATATTAGTTTCTGCAATCACTTGACTTCTTTTTAAAATTTAAAAGTTATCTGTATCATTCCATAACGTGTGTGCTTTAAAATTGTATCCGCTGATACCAACGACAAACAAACATAATTACCATGGTCAAAGATATAACCTGATTTCTAGTTTCATTTCACTTTTTGTTCTGAAGACATTTTTGGGATCCGCGGATTTTTTGTAAGACACATACATTGTACATTCAAACATTTAAAGACACACACGTCGTTGGTGGACGAAATCAATGCAATCAGAGCACAAGTTTAATTGGAGCGTTGTCAGGTCTTTGAGAGCCGAGCAGGGATTTAGGGTCTTTATCTTAAAAAATCATTATGACATCGCACAGTTTATAATATCGGCATTTCGACTGATAGTACTTTTGTACAGATAAATCAGGGAAATCTCATTTTGAAATGAATAGGCCGAATGAATTAAAAATAGCCATAAAACAATTTGAAGGATGTCAAATACCAAACTTTATGCGATAATGAATCCGTCTAGTATAGAAAATAAAGAGATGTGGTGTGATTGCCAATGGGACAACTATCCACCAAAGTTCAAATGAAGTGGACGCAAGCAAGCAATTATAGTCAACCGTACGGCCTTCAACAATGAGAAGAACATACCCTATAGTAGGCTATAAAGGGCATCGACAGTAAAAATATGAAACAATTAAATTGAGAAAGCTAAGGGATTAATCTATAACAAAACAATTAACGAAAAACAAAAATGACGGACATGATCCAACGACAACCACTGCAAGCTCCTGACATTGGACCATTCCATTTAATATCTGAAAAGGGGGTGGATGGTTGTTTCTGAGGGTATCAAAAGTCATTTCTTAGGGATATCGATTGGCTCATAATTTATCTGAGAGGTACCCATATTTTGTTTCTGTGGGGTCTTTTCTTGTCTTAATATGTAATAAAATGCTCCGCTGGGCGCAGCTTGATACGACCGCAGAGGTCGAACCATGAACAGTTGGGGCAAAGATCCATACACTTACACACAAGTAATGGTCCTGAAACTAGACAAAATGCTTGTTTTTTGCCCCTTTTTTGGCCCCTAATTCCTAAAATTTTGAGGCAATTACCCCCAAAATAAATCCCAGCTTTCCCTTTGTGGTATGGTACCTTGCAGTACAATTTCAGAGAGATCCATACACTTGAACACAAGTAATTGTCTGGAAACTAGAAAAATGCTTATTTTTGGCCCCTTTTTGGCCCTTTATTCCTAAACGTTTTGGGCAATTACCCCCAAACTCAATTCCAGCTTTCCCTTTGTGATATGGAACCTTGTAGTACAATTTCAGAAAGATCCATACACTTACACACAAGTTATTGTCATGAAACTCGAAAAATGCTTGTTTTTTGCCCCTTTTTTGGCCCCTAATTCCTAATATTTTGAGGCAATTACCCCCAAAATCAATCCCAGCATTCCCTTTGTGATATGGAACCTTGTAGTACAATGCCAGAGAGATCCATACACTAACACACAAGTTATGTCTGGAAGTTACAAAAATGCTTATTGTTGACCCCTTTTTGGCCCCAAATTCCTAAACGTTTAGGGCAATTACCCCCAAACTCAAACCCAGCTTTCCCTTTGTGATATGGAACCTTGTAGAACAATTTCATAAAGATCCATACACTTACACACAAGTTATTGTCCTGAAACTAGACAAAATGCTTGTTTTTTGCCCCTTTTTTTGCCCTTATTCCTAAAATTTTGAGGCAATTACCCCCAAAATCAATCCCAGCTTTCCCTTTGTGGTATGGTACCTTGCAGTACAATTTCAGAGAGATCCATACACTTGAACACAAGTTATTGTCTGGAAACTAGAAAAATGCTTATTTTTGGCCCCTTTTTTGCCCTTTATTCCTAAACGTTTTGGGCAATTACCCCCAAACTCAATTCCAGCTTTTCCCTTTGTAATATGGAACCTTGTAGTACAATTTCATAAAGATCCATACACTTACACACAAGTTATTGTCCTGAAACTAGAAAAATGCTTGTTTTTTGCCCCTTTTTTGGTCCTTATTCCTAAAATTTTGAGGCAATTACCCCCAAAATCAATCCCAGCTTTCCCTTTGTGGTATGGTACCTTGCAGTACAGTTTCAGAGAGATCCATACACTTGAACACAAGTTATTGTCTGGAAACTAGAAAAATGCTTATTTTTGGCCCCTTTTTGGCCCTTTATTCCTAAACGTTTTGGGCAATAACCCCCAAACTCAATTCCAGCTTTTCCCTTTGTAATATGGAACCTTGTAGTACAATTTCATAAAGATCCATACACTTACACACAAGTTATTGTCCTGAAACTAGAAAAATGCTTGTTTTTTGCTCCTTTTTTGGCCCTTATTCCTAAAATTTTGAGGCAATTACCCCCAAAATCAATCCCAGCTTTCCCTTTGTGGTATGGTACCTTGCAGTACAATTTCAGAGAGATCCATACACTTGAACACAAGTTATTGTCTGGAAACTAGAAAAATGTTTATTTTTGGCCCCTTTTTGGCCCTTTTTTCCTAAACGTTTTTGGCAATTACCCCCAAACTCAATTCCAGCTTTTCCCTTTGTAATATGGAA